GGCATGTAGCGATAGGACAAGGGGTAATGGCTTTAAACTGAAAGAGGGGAGATTTAGATTAGATACAAGGAAGAAATTCTTCACTATGAGGGTGTCCCTTCCAACCCAAACCATCCTATGAATCTATGAACAGCTTATTCTTTATACATAGACACAAAGTCATAAAATTATATTAGCTTTCCAGAGGACGTCCTTCTCCACAGTTTACTCATGTAAGATAGCGCTTTTTAAGGTAAGTTAACTCTAGCTGGACTGCTTCCTCGAGTAAATACCTCTCACCATGTGTACACGTTGTGGAACCTGTGCTTTAATTTTAATTGTTTCAGATGCTTCTAAAATCAGGGCTGTCTTGAGAGATGTTAGGTGAAGGTAGAGTTAGCAACAGTTCTGAATGTTTTTTCAGATGAACATGACGTGTATAGTATATAGTATGCATTTTTAAATAATATCTTGTCTAATAGAGCTTAAATCATCCAAACCATTGTGTCCCTTTGTTCTTCCTTTTTATAAAATCAGTCTATGAAAGTATTAAAAAGCATACTTAAAGATTTCTTGTCCTACAGCTGTTTGTAAAGTAATTGTGAAAAAACTTGTTCATTTTCTTTACAGCTTTGGAGTCTGCAGAGCCGATTCTTGCATCGTGATCTTGTGCTGATAGATGTATGTGCAGCATGTAGCGAGTGTTGGTGTGAGGCTTGCCCCCTGGCTGAAAGTGAATACAGAAACTGTTGTTACAGCAGGGTGATTTCCACTGTGCTCAAAGGAGTAGATGGACGCTGTTTCTATTCTAGTTTTTTTGTAGTGCCTCCATCATTTGCTCGCTGGCTACAAAGTATTATCCCCTGAGCTTTTCAGCTGTTGCAGTATAAAACCCACATATCCGGAATTTAACCATCAAGAATCTGAGGAAAGCGTTTCTGAAGGAGTATTCCTCAAAATCTCTCCCGAGGGCAGGGTGGGGTGCAGCTCCAGCGTCACAGGCAGTCGCTAATCCAGACTGTCAAGCTGCACCTTCGGGCTCACAGCTGCCTGGATGTGCAGGGTACGTTTTGTGGAGCTCTCCCATATGCAGCGGTTTTGGAGCTCTCTAGGCAGGTTGTTCCATAAGTTCTATAGGAGCCTATAGAACATTTTAGTTCTGACAGTTAATGGCATCTCTTTTGGCCCACGTGGTATCCTATGGCTTAATCATCTCACACCTTATTAATATCCCCAGTATTTTGTGGATACCTTTTCCTCAGATTGGGTAATTGTTTGCCATCATTAAGTTTTATTCAGAACAACTGCTCCCAAGCTGTATTTAACTTGAGTTTTTCTGCCCCTATTTCAGGCCTGAAGAAGGGTTTTGTGGCCTAATACCTTGTTTGTTTCACCTCATCTGTGTCTGTTGATCTAATAAAAGATGGTACTTTTCCCTACAAAGCTATTTTATGCTCATCAGCCTTAAGGTCAAGGCCCAGTGCTTTGGTGAAATGAGCTGATAGTGAATAAACATGGTTTGCAAATTAGAAGATTAGTAACTGTCAGAGGTGTAAGAGTCTGGAATTTTTGCAGTGAAGATATTGGAGGCAAGAAGAGAAACTGCTTTTAAGATAGAGCCTGGTAAATATATGAATGGGATTATAGTGAATGGCCTTTTCCAGTCTATTATGCTGTCTTAATTCTGTGTGTTTACCGAATAGACCTCAGCCAGTGTTTCCACTGTAATTATTATTTATGGTCAACATCAGCACACTGTTTCATTGTTCTTGGAGACATCACTTGCAAGTTATACTTTCATCATCATTTCCAAGGTAGCTACGTAAAATGATTGCTCCAGAGAAATTTGGAGCTCGAATTCTTGGATATGAACGAGACACGACTCTCAGGGAAGTTAGATTTCCAGCAGCTGCCCATCAC